GCCGCCGCCGCGGACAACAGCACAAAGGGACGACGACGACGAGAAGGGAAAGAGAAACATAACAAAAAAATAAAGAAAGAGAACAACGGAAACGGTGGGTGGTGGGGGGGCCGCAGCCCCCGGCCGCGCGCGCCCCGCCCGCCGGCGCTTGGCACAAAATCGCCTCCTCTCAGCCCAAAAAGAAACCAGAGAATAACAAAGCCCCGAAATGAAGCGGCTGGGGGGAGCCGGGACCCTGCGGCGAGAGGCAGCGGGCGAAGCAGAGCCGGGGCGCGGGGGGGTCCCTCGGGACACAGCTGGACCCCCCCCGGAGGTGCCCTGGCACCGCCGTGCGGCCCCTCGGCGCGGTGCAGCCCCGCGGTGCGGCGGCGGTGTAATCCGGCACCGCGCGCCACGTGGGCGCCACCGCGGCGCGGTGCAATGTGCCAGCACGGTGCGATGCCGGGGCGCCCCGCCGCGCTGCAGCACCCCGGCACGGTGCAGCACCCCAGGACAGTGCAACACCCCAGGGCAGTGCAGCACCCCGGCACGGTGCAGCACCCCGGCACCGTGCAACACCCCAGGACAGTGCAGCACCCCAGGGCAGTGCAACACCCCGGCACCGTGCAACATCGGGGTGCCCTGGGTCCCCCCATGGCGGTCCCTGCACCCCGGGACCCCCCGGTGCCGTCCCCCTGCGCGCCGCTGCCGGGCCAAAAGTGCATGCGGCCCCGGCGCCGTCTCCCTGTGCAGCCCCCGTCCTCCTCGCTCCTCTCCTCTCTCCTTCCAAAGTGCAGTTAGTTTAATATTTTAGCCTCTCAGGGAGGGAAATAAATGCTTAAAAAATAATAATCTAAGAAGAGAAGAACAATAAAGGAAACGCTCGACTGTCGGGGCCCTTCCCTGTGCAAACAAACAAAATTCGTCAAGTCCTGGGGCGCGGGAGGTGCCGGCGCGGGGCGCGCGGAGCCGGGCCGGCGCGGACGGGCCGCGGGGACGCCGGGGCCCGCGAGGCGGCAGCGACCCCCCCCAGGCGCTGCCACCACCGTCCCTGTCCCCGTCCCCCCCCCCCGGGGTGCAGCACCGCCCGCCCTCGCCCACGGTCCGGGGGCAGAGAAAGAAAAAAAGGGGGGAAGCGAGCGGGGAAGCAAGCGCAGGGCGCCCTACACCTCCTGGTCCTCGAAGACCTCGAGGAAGAGGGGCGGGAAGAGCTCGGTGGGACACTCCACCTTCATGTGCAGGAAGCGGCTGGCGTGGCAGGCCCCGATCATGCGCAGATCCGTCACCTTCATCAGCAGCTTGGGCCAGAAGTGGGGAATGTTGTGTTTGCGGTAGTTGATGTAGTGCTCGAAGGCCAGCAGGTAGGTCTCCTGGCACTTCTCGATCTTCTCCACGCAGATCAGCCCCGTCCGGTCTGCGGGCGCAGGCACCGTGTTCCCGGGGGGCACCGTGGCTGTGGCCCCCGCCCTGGCCATGGGGCTGCCCCCCTGCTGGTCCCCATCGGATCCCCGGCTGGGGACAGCGGGATGTCCACCCTGCATATTCCCTGCCTTGGGCATGGGGGGGAAACCTGCATGTCCCCATCCAGACCCCTGGCCATGGACCCTGGAGTGGCCGCCTTGGAAGACCCCATCCAGATTCCCAGGCCACACATTGGGATGCCACCTGGATGCCCCCAGCCAACGGCACTGGGATGGCCGCCCTGCACATCCCTGTCCAGATTCCCAGCCACGGGCAGCAGGATGTTCCCCTGCACATCCCTATCCAGATCCATGGGCACCACGATGCTCCCCTGCATATCCCTATCCAGATCCCCAGCCATGGGCACCAGGACGCTCCCCGGCACGTCCCCATCCAGACCCACAATCATGGGCACCAGGACGCTCCCCTGCACATTCCCATCCAGATCCATGGGCACCAAAACGCTCCCCTGCACGTCCCCATCCAGATCCATGGGCACCAGGACGCTCCCCTGCACGTCCCCATCCACCTGCACCCCGCTCCCACCCTGGGCATCGCCCCACCAGGACCCTGCACCCTCGCGCAGCAGCGAAGCCCGAGCCCGCGCTCCCCGTCACGTCCCCGCGGTGCCACCCCGACGCTCCCCGTGCCCCCGGCACCTGAGGACATGAGCAGCACGGCCTGGAGCAGGGCCACCTCGGTGTCGTCCAGGTTGAAGGCAGACAGGGACTTGCCCAGGTCGAAGATGGCATCGGAGACGACGCCGAGGCCGCCGTTCTTGAGCTGCTCGCGCTTGACGGCCATCTCGCCGCTCAGCGTCAGCGTCTCGCTCTCGGGGTCGTAGCGCACGGCCGCCCGCAGCGACATGATCTCCATGCAGCAGCCCTTCAGCAGGATGATCTGGTCTTCGCAAGGCAGCTGCGGGCAGGGGCGTCAGGCGGCCCGGCCCCCCCGGAGCCCCCCGCCCGCCCGCGGAGCCCTCCCCGCCTCCCCGGTACCTCCGAGAACATGGGCAGTTTTTTGGCAAAGTCGACCACGCGGGTGATGGCCGGGGTGATGATTTTTGTAAACTCGCTGAACGCCTCCAGGTCAACTTTGTCCCCATCGGGCATGGAGGCCATGGGCGACTGGCCGATGTCCTCGGGCTGCGGAGCAGAGCGGGCGGCCGTGAGCCCCCCGGCATGGGGAAAGCAGGGCACAGCCCCCTGGGATAGGGGAGCCAGGGCACAGCCCCCTGGGGACCCCCGGGGTGGGGACACTGTGACACAGCCCCCCGGGATAGGGGAGCCAGGGCACAGCCCCCTGGGGACCCCCGGGGTGGGGACACTGCGGCACAGCCCCGCCAGGATCCTAGATGAAGGGAAACTGAGGCACGGCCCTCCCCAGGACC